CTGATATTTTGGTTATTTAGGAGACCGACCTCTGCAAATATGTGTGACTGAATTTCTGTAGAATATTCCACCATCAAGGATTAAGTGACAAATGGGCGTGCTGGTTCCTAGATTTCATAGCATTTAAGAGGTCGCTGAGGTATTCAAGAGGTATTTTATCACTGTCATTCACCTATAAACTTTTTTCACTTTAAATATTGAAGCATAAAACGTTTCAGATCTAAAGTTGTGCCTCACATACGGTGGCCCTTTCACAAGGAAAATCCAGGCCAGATAGCTCATCTCCACATTGGAATTTCCTTCCCTCAGTGGTCAGACCCGATGTGAAGAGTGGTCAGCAGACCTGCAGAGGCCATTCTGAGGACAGCTGAGCAGATTGCCAAGACCAGCTTGCAAGAAATGAGTGACCAACAGGTTTAAGTTATGATGAACTAGTTAAACAGGTTCTAAGGAAAGCCAAGTGCTTGTTGGATTTCTTTCGACAGTCAAACACTTAATCTATTAAAGTAGGTGCGTAGAACAGATTCAGGCCTTATTAGGGAAATTAATATGTCAAACCTGAGATCATTATCTCTTCTGCAGCCCATCCCCAAGAGGGGGAAAACTCTTTAGTTATATTGACTTTCCTACCTTCATGAAGGTCACTTCATTTTTCCAGGAATATAGGCTTTAATCATGAAAAGGCTTTCAACTTGAGGTATTTGTCTCTTTCAGTTCCCGGATCCTGTGCATGTTACTCCTTCTTAGTATCACTTTTCCTAACACCACCATAGTTTAGGTTGTTATAACCCATAACCTAGAATAGTGAAGTGTCCTTTAGCCCCCTTTATTGGTTGTTTGCTTCTTTGCATGTTTTGTTTGTTTTTGTTTTTAACTCTCCGTTTTTTGCCGCATGTCAGAAAGCTGCTTTCTTTCACTTGAGCTCCGTATTGCTCTATGGCTTCATTTCTGTTCTGATCCTTGGCTACATACATTAAGAACATATAGCAGGTGTGTGTGTGTGTGTGTGTGTGTGTGTAATGCTGTGATGCCAATCCATCACCCAACTAAAATACTGTAGGGCCCAACTTCACAGGTTATGGTGAAGATTAAATCAGAAAAAAACATCAGATTCATTCAGAAATTCAAAGCAGTTGGAGGCAAAGTAATAATTCATTGTTTCTTCGTGTCATAATTTCTGATTGTGTAAAGTGAAGCTTAATTGATCTGTTTGTGTTTGTGAGACAGTAGCAGAGAGAATAGTGTTTAACTCTGTGCCATCCAATACAGTAACCACTGGCTACATATGACTACTGAGCATGTGAAATATAGCTGGTCCTACTGAGAAATGGTGTAAGTGTGAAATACACAAAGGATTTTGAGGACTTAGTATAAAGAGAATATAAAATAAATCATTAATACTTTTTTCATTGATTACATGTTGAAATGACAATATTTTGGATATATTGAGTTAAATAAAATATATTCTTAAAATTAATTTCACCAGTTTTTTTTTTATTTGATGTGCCTACTAGAAATATTTTGGTATTTAGAATTTCCTTTCCTTTCCAGTTTCAGTTTTGGAGTTTACTTATTATTGAAATCTAAGAGCAAAGGAGTTAGGCTGAGGCAGCAGACCTCATTTTCTGACTCTCCAGAGGTGGCAGGTGCGCTCAGCTTGAGGAGGAGGGTGTGGGGTACACTGGACCCCCAGAGAGTCAGAGATTGGTAGGCAGCTTGGCAAATGAGGAACACACTCCCTAACTTGCTCATCTCTCTGTGGT